TATCACCAAAAAAAAAAAAAAATTTCCCCCCCCCCCCCCCCCCCCCCAAAAAAAAAAAAAAGAAATCCATGTCTTTCTGGGCACCTGGGGTTCTCTTTCAGGAGTCCACAAGCAGAGGCTGTAATAACACTTGGCTTGCTCAAACTGAAGGCTTTCATTCTGCCTCAGTTCCAGCAGAGTTGGTGAGAGTGAAGCCTAAAATTTTAATGAGACAAAGTTACCATTTTTATTTTCAAATAAGGTGGTAGACAGGATTTTCCCTTGCAACAACTAACAATATCCTATCTTCTCCATCATGTCTTCTGCACAGTTCATTCACCAACCGTATAAATAGTGACAGTGACTATTTCATCAGGAGAACCCTCTGTACCTTCTACAGCTCTCTTTGCTGCCCGTACTTTTAAGCACCAGATTAGGACAAATGGGAGAGGAGAAGCAGTGTAAACAAATGGCTCTGATGATTACTAAATATATTACTCTATGCATTTTGAGCCAAATTTCTTTTTAGTAAAAATAGCGTAACTCCACTGACTTTATTCCACCTGATGTTGTGACTCTGGATCTTTTATAGTCCTTCTTTTAATTAATTTAGAAGACCAATACAGGCTGTAATAAACAACCTCTAAGGCTATCGCACTGAATTAAAATTTCCAGTAGAGCAATCGATGATCTGACAAATATTCCAGTAGAGGAATATGAGGCAATAAAGACAAAAATAAGCAGCAGTTGACTGCTTGAGAAATGTATTTTATTGGTCTAATATTTTTTGCAGTTCCATGGATTCACTAACAAAGGAACAAGACGGCAAGGGCTACCAAACCAGAGCTACTGCAGAGTTCACAAACAGAAGGGCTAGGGGAGCTGATCTGGAAGAAAGTAATCCGAATATGTGGAACGACAAATATTGTTTGGTTTCCATTTGCTGTAACATGGACCACAGGCATATTTACACAATAGTGCTACTATTTACAGTATGGCAACGCCTTATATCCCACTCAGGATGGGGGTGATGCTAGAATCTAGGTGGGTGCAGATGTTACAGACACACATAGACTAGGCTGTGAGTATGACAGTATCTTAAACATCTGGAAAGGGCGGAGGAGGAGGAGGAGGACGAGGAAGTGACTGAATCATGCAGTTGCATAGGTCTAGTGCACAACAAGCTGTTTTTGATGCAGTTTGGATCTGTATCTATCTAGTATTTTTTTTTAGTCTACCAATGGTTATGTCCCTTTATCTTCATTTCAAATTAAATATAGCAGATGGAATCCTCAACTGCTATTTTAAGGAAACAAAAAAAATTCTACTTCACTGTTTGAGTTGCCCTGCAAGTCTTTCCCTGGGTCAACGCATGGTTATTGATCTGGCACCCAGAAGATCCTTTGAATGGAAAAATCCTGCCCTATAGCCCCTGCTCCCTGGTTACTCTTCCTTGCGACTGTTCCTTTGACTGTCTCCGTTTCCAGGCATAGCAAGAATACAGATGCGGCACTGGGGGATGATGCTGCACTCTGAAGCTGGCATTCTGTGGAAAGACCTTGACTAGGATCACTTGGCTTGGATTGTGGCCGATACAGATTGTGCTGATTCTTTTGAAAGGCTGAAGTTAAGAAGCTGCATAGGGCTTTGAATAATGAATTATGAATACAGTTCCTCAGGCTGTTCCTTGCATTTTCAGGACTGGCTGCCAGTCTATTTAGTGTATGGTACCACTGACCTTTGCAAACACAGTAAATCAAATTGTACGTCAGAGCCATTGTGCATAAGCTACGCCTTGTCCTTGATATATATACACTGTGGACACAACAAAGTCTGCGGACATACTGCATCCCAATTCTGCAGGATTTTGAAACAGTAACTGCAACCAGTCAAGGTTTTCAAGTTATATTCGGAAAAGATTTGCAAGCAGAAAAAGGACCTGTGCAGGAAAACGCAGCATTCAATAGCCCTGTCCTAGAGCTTATATGCTATATTCTCTGTACTCCTACTCCTGGCTTCCCAGATGTCCAAGTCGGGTCACATTACCATTGTTTAGTTTATGGTTTGGACTAGGTAGCTAGCAACAAGGCCAGCTCTGAGTTAGCTGACGTCCATAATAAAGGAGGCACTCTCCTCACATCAGCTCTGTCTTTTTCCTTTCCCACCCTACTTTAAACCATCCAAGAGCTTCACTCTGTGTCACAGCCAGGTGTAAGAGCACAGGTATTTCCTCAGTACACAGCTGACAGCCACATCCCTTGGCAGCAAGTTCCATGCTAAATGTCTGCTCAGAAGACATTTATAAGCTCCTGGGAAAACACTTTGCAATACAAAACCTAGCGTAGTTATATCTGTAGAGAGGCAACTAAATGCCCTTAAAATGGTATTGTATGTAAAAACAGCTGCAGTTAATACAGAAAGCTCGGGAGAAACTTTAGACAGCAGACACCAACTAAACCATGGAAAAGCAAGTATGTCTTTGATACCTTTCAAAATGTGATTCATATTTCCCATAGTTATACATAAATTGGTGTATGAAAGCCTCACGACACCCAGAACTATCTCACTAGCTTTAAAAGACCAAAAAAAGGCTGCTCGCTATTTTTACCTGAGTAAACAGCAGCCTGCTAATAGACAGTGATCTTGTGGCTGGACAACAACATCCTGAGCTGAGGTCTCCTTCCATCGCAGGTTTTCAGTGCAACCTGTAGAAGTCAGTTCAACCCTTGGCGGTGTTTTACTTTTCTAGGCTGTAACATGAGAATAAAGGTGTCCCAGTTACATGAAGCTCATTTCATTGATACTCATAAAGCAAGTTAATATCTTAACTTAGAAAGTGACGAAGTATCAAGTACTGTTATTTTAGCTGATTGTATCGTTATAGTGCAGTCGTCAGTTGAGAAGTCCTTTAAAGACTGTAAGCCTTGTAGCAATCCGTAAGAAAAACAGATCCTCTCTGTTGCCTTCCCCGCTTCATAAAGCATACCAACAGCACAAATAGTCTCTGATATCTTGATATTTTTAAAACGAACAATAAAATCACTGACAGCTCTGTCTGCTGGTGCTGGAGTACAGCAGTTGGCACTTTGAAGTACAAGTGATAAAGTTATTCTAGAGTATGGATTTGGGGGGTGAAAGTATTACTCAATGCTGCCCGTTCTCTGGCTTTTCTGAATAAATTGCCTAAATTTCTGACTCCATTGCAACATGTTTGGCCTAGCCACCTATAAAGAAAAGCTGACCGCTTATTATGCTCTGATGTGTGCCAGCCATGTAACACTTACCCATGGCATAACCCCTGTCGCTCGGTGCTGCATAACTAGTATCGCATATGAAGATGCTGCCGCCTCTGCATGCAGTCAGTCCCCCAAATCCACCTGCATGTGCCCTTTGGCTCCCAGGCCAGAGCTCGCTGAGCTGTGTTGTGAAGTATGGGTGATATCAATTACGAACAATGCTACTTGTCGTGGATCACTGTTATAGGGTTATGATTGTACAGTGTAACTATCATCTCTCAGTCAAGCCAACTCGGCTGTTGTGGGAAATGAACTCCTGAATATATTACTCTAGTCACTGAGGGAGCTTAACTGAGGGGAAAAAAATCGGAGGAAATACAGGTCAGGTTAACACAAAATGCAGCCTGCAGCTTTTGACAAAACAAAAAGACGGAAATAAATTTTTATGTTGACTTAAAATGTGTTCTCAACCCTAGCCCAGAACACTTTTATTAGCCTTTCGTTCTTTTAATTTGTCTCAGTTCATAAACGGAATAGTCCACCTTAAAAACCAAAGCTTCTATAAACCAAAGCTCCTTAAAAACCAAAACATCTATCTATTTCAGTATTTAGATATTTTAGTATTTGAAATTCTTTTTTCTGACGTTTACTGTTCATAACGTAATTTTGAACAGCTCTACTTATTATGAGTTACCCAGCTATTCATTGCAATTATGATAATATAATGGTGACATGAGTACTTTCGAGTCAATTTTGCAAGGTCAGTAATTTCCCCTTCTAGCAAGTCCATCTTGAATCGCTACGATTTAGTACACAACCTTCTGCTGTGTCTCAATCAGAGAAGCAGCATGTTCTTTCTCATTTTAGCATGAGATCCATAAATCAATCTGACTGATAGATGGAAGGTAGCATTTTATCACTCTCGTTTTACACATAGAGACAGAGCTGCTCTCTCAATCATAGTCATTGTGGTTTTTTACTTACATGCTGTGATCTTGGCTTGACTTGGATGCGGGAGGAAAAAAACCTCCAACAGAATTTTGTCTTCTGGGATATTTGCATATAGTGATACAGATACGGTTTCTTAAAATATATCATTTTTCCTCCTAACTTTCCTCAGATAACGATGTTGAAAATGATCTTCAGCCACACATCTTTTGAACACTGCAAAGGATTCTCCAGTGCCACCCAAAGTTCAGAACTGCGGAAAGAATGCAATTTCTTCTTGACAGCTGTGCGCTTGGCCTCACTAAATCAGATACTGGATCCATGGGTTTATCTGCTACTGCGAAAGATCTTCCTCCAGAAGTTCTTTCAAGCAGCCAATGCTGTCTCCAAGTGCTCTAACAACGAATGGAAAGAGAGATCGATCACGTTGTCAGAGGAAATCAGACGGACAACAGTGTGACGGAACATTGATCAATCTATTTGCCTGAAAACTACTTTTGCCAACAAGTAGTTTTAAATCTTACTGTGAATTGGGGTATCTGTAGCATGTTAGTGTCTGCATAAATAGCTGAAAATGGTATTAATGAATGGACTTAAGAGTGCCAAATAATTATATATCCTATGTGCCAAAAATTCTCTCACATAGACAAAGGAATTGGTTCTGTTGCTAAATTCTGTTGTCATCGCAATTCATAACTGAGCTGCAGAACATTACTTTTTGTGTGCCTAAAATATATTTTGGAGGGATTTTTCTTGCATTAAGGGAGAAAAAATGATTTTCATATCAGGAGAGACTTGGAACATAGATTCAACAGTTAAATTACTAAAGAGACCTATTCCTGTCTATAAGCTTAATGCTAAGAGTATCTACTTCAGAGTCTTTCTTCCTCCTTTCTATTTTCTGGAGGTGTGGGAGGAGAAAGGGTCAAAATTACAAATATTAGGAAACTTCCTCTGGATTTCAGTGGCTTAAAACTGAAAAGGTTGCGTTGAAGCAATGATGGTATTGTTCTCTTTCAAGAGGTGAAGGTAAAATGAGTCTTACGACACACGGACTTGCCATGATAAATATTCTTTTTGTGTGAATACTAAAGTAAACTCATCTGCTGAGTAGGATGTAGCATTAGGATAAATAGCACAAATGAGAAATCTATGATTCTTTTTTTAAAATAGCAGCCTGTGAAATACTCAGGCATAACAAGAACTGCTGTTAGCAA